CATTACTGGTAGTCATAGCCATCCAGTGGTTAGGAAGCGACCGCAACTGTTCGGCCGGTCAGCAAATGAGCTCTCATCCAAGGAAGGCAGCGGCGGCATCTGGTTCATAAGCAAGCACCTGCTCATACCGGAGAACGCGCTCTGCTGTCTGGGTACCACGTGTCCTTTGCTCCAACAAGATAAAGTAAAGTAGTACAGCAAACCAGGAGAAACCTTAACTCAAACCACTGCATCAGTGTCGTGGCCCCTGGCTCATCAACGCAGTGATCGGAGTACATTCCTCTGAGTGGCGTAACGGCCGCCCTCATCATTTACGTGCACGTGATGATGTGCCTTTTGTCAAAATATCTCTTCATCTTGACAGCAACTGTATTGGCCAAAAAAATAAACCTTTTGCTGCGGTCCCTGTCTTAGAAACCTAGAGATCCAGTAAAATACGCCATGCCATGATGTTATTTTAGCAACAGCAATAATCTCGTATGATTGCTAACAATCGACCATCAGCATACATCAAAACGAAAGTAAACAAAATTTAGAGAACAGGAAATAAAATATATGTGCATAAATATGCTTCACACCTGAACGTTTGTTTGATTATTGAAATGCCGCTGTCATGTACTCAAGGCAATCGCTGGCACAGATGAACAAACAACTGGAATATCATTGTATTTATCATTTTGCTGACATGTCACTCACAGTTGATAAACGCACAACCATGCTACATTTAAAGACAAAGTATTCGTAGCATGCGCATTAAAATGCTGCTCATAAACACTTAAGCAGCGGGCAACTTAAACAAAAATTAAAACGTGAAATGGGGGTGGTAGCGCAGTGGATACACAGTTTGGCCCTGCATCTCAGAGCTCTTGGATTCCAAATCTAAAACTGCGTGATATTTTTTTTATTAACTGCTTAATTTACTCAACTTTAAGTGTCTTGAAGCAATCAGCTAAGAAACGGAGAGCAAGTAACTGATCTGCGAATAATGAAGACAGCGTAGTGATCCAATCTGATTTTCAAGCAAAGGCATACGAATACGATCTTAGATGTATGTACCTTAGCGCTATTAATTTTCTTGGCTTATCTTTATTCTATTTAAAATAATAACCAGCACAGCGTGTAAACGAACATAAAATTTGAAACAATAAAAAATGACTTATAAATGCAACTTGAAATGTTTAGACACAACGAATTCATGTTTGGCTAGGATAAGGCTTCGAATGGCCAGTTTTCGTCAACCAAGTTATGATTCTCTCATTTGTATAAGTAAAGGCCAGTAGTTTGGTGGAATATCAAAGAATCGGTACATTTCATTACTTAGCTAGCCAGAGCTGCCAACTCCAGATCCCATCAAAGCAGGAATTTGTGGTTTGTAAACATTTAAAATTCGCCTAAAAGATTTAGTTCATCGTTGTTCATATATCTAACGATATCACGTTTCCTTATATAAAATACGAAAACAAAAACACGAGTGCATGCTCACGTGCTGAGGACAGAAGAGTCAAGTTTGCCACTGTAGCAACCCTCGATCATCTCGCGGAGAGTCTGCTGATAAAAATCATTGTCGTCAAAGATTTCTGCATCATAGCTGCTGTCGTCGGTTTTGACGTCGGTTGCTGCTACATCATCGTCGTCAGCAATGGTTAAAGCACTGGTTTCCGAAGGCTGATCCTTTCCAACGATGTCACAGCGTACTCTTTTCAATTGGGTACGACGCAGTAGCCGTGGTCGGTCTGCCAAAACCTAAACAAAAGTAGCGCTTGCAAATAAGATTCCAACGTCAAGCGAGGTGATTAGACAAAATATGACTAGCATCACCTCACTGAACGCAAACCACCGCTTACCCGCTCGATCTGCTTCAAAATATTGGTCTCGAAGCCAGAAAAATTTTGACTTGATGCCTTGCCTGATGCGAAACGGGTTTTCTCGTACCACCGCAACAGAATG